CGATAAGTGGATGTCAGGATGTTTCCTATCTTCGGGTAGAGCCGCGTGCCTGAGACGGCCACGGATTCTAAGAGTTCCGTCGACGAGAATCGTCACAATTCGTAAGTGTGAATACGTTCGATCATGGCGGTTGTTGTGACTAAAGGAACATAGAAGAGCAACGTAGGGTAAAGAACTACTTCGGCCTAATCGCCCATTTTGGGCCTATCGAGCAGAATACTTCAAATAAATCCATGATTTCAGAGTTAACAAGTCAAATATGCGTTTGTTACGATACTTGAGTAAATAAGCTACCGAACGAAGTCAATGAGAACGCGTGGTATGAAGGTTTGCACCCATTATTTCCAAAACAAAAGAAACGCTCCGACCGAATCAATTTTCATCTTCCTCCGATAGGCCGATGTGAATTCATTGGCGTTTCGATGGCGTTTCAATGCGTTAGGCCGAGTTTAGAATCCATAGGCCGAGTTTGGTGTCAAGAAGCAGTGTTAGACTTTTGACAACATCTCAACAATTGGTTTCTCTTTTTCAAATCTTGCGGTACGTGCGGAAAGGTAAATAAATTTGAAAGCCATCAGTAATAATAACATTCCGTTTGGTGCTAAACTGCGCTAGATTAAAAAAGACTAAGTGCGGGTTGTGCTTAATAGGCCGGAAATGAGGTAGTTAACCCTATAAGAGCAACGATACGCACGAGAGTCGGAAACGACGACCGAATGAAAAAGATTTCATTTGGTGAATGCACCTGCACCGTTAGTGAAACGGATCTCTCTTCGAGTAGTTCAGCCGGTAAGTCCATGGATGTTTGTTGCGTTAGAGGGCCAAAACCGTGATGGTTGCCTCATCAGCTGTGTCGGATACATTCCACGGGAGATGATATCCGTCGGATTTTCGATACCAGGTACATGTGCCCAAAGGCCGTTGACCGTGAGATGTTGCACTTCCGAAACTTGGCAATGAAAGTCTTCCACCGCGATAGAGTTGAACGGAGTCAGTGTAGCGTTATTATCGAGTCAGTCCAAAAGATGGTCTTTACCTATGCTGTATTGTTTTGAAAATTCTGGTAGAGATGGCCCAACAGAAGTGCTAAAGAGAGTTCCAACCTTGTCAGAAAAACACGCAGAAAAAATATTTTAAACGTAATAATATCTGACGTAAAATCAATAAGAATTTCATTTTGTTTTGGCTGCAAAATGATATCATTATTGTTTCAACAATCCAGTATTTTTGTTCCTGAAAACTCATGGATTGTTGAATCAAAAAGAAAATGTTTTCGTATTTACATGGTTTTGACGTAAACTGTCAAATTTTGTAGCTGGTTCAACAAAAAAATGTTTGTTTTTAAAAGAGATTGCTTGTTGATTCAATCATATTTATTTTATGAAGTCTGACAACTGTGAAGCAACTGTAAACTCTAGAAGGAATTTATATCTGTAACTGAAACCAGTTTGATTTTAGTTTGCCAACCTGGTTAAAATGTCATTATTTTCATTTAATTATCTTAAAGATAAATCGTCCAGCTCAAACCTTTGTAGGGGTAAGAGGTGGGACCATCATCATCATCATCAATACACGCAGTAGAAATAGAAATACGTTTATTGATTCAATAGTAATTTGGCGATTATTTTTGTGTTTTGTTTTTTTTTTTTTTTGTAATATACAGAATTGCAATTTTATTTAGAAAACCTTTCTGAATCATAAAATCTCTGATTACAAAAAACAAATCAAAGAAAAAAAAAAGACAAACTGTTTATATTTAGCAACTGCAGCATGCTGACTTACCTCAAGTCTCAATATTTTTGGAAATTTTGCACTTATTTCCCGAAATTCACAGTTCAAAATAATATTAACGTGGAACCCGGAAAAGAGCTGAATTCAAAAGAGAACAGTTTTGTGTTATTGTTTACACTTTATCCGGGTGAAAACGAAAGAATGGTTGGTAGATATTTTTGCATTCATGGGAAATGGACACAACAAATAAATTTTCAATTAAAACTTACTATTGTTGGCTTAATAAAAGAATATTGTAAGTTTTACAGTAGTTGCAATTGAAATGTGGGTTTTTAAAACAAAAATAATCTTATTTGGAACTTATATGAATAAGTATTATAGAAACAATAAAATGCAATATAATTTTAACAGAAAAAACAAACCAGAGGAAAAAAAAAGAGGTGCTATTTTCGACTTGGCAGCCAATAGATGACCGACAATCTTCCCGTCGGTTGAAACGGTTCTTAGGCTTTCTCAGAAGCGTCACAGAAACCGTGTATTTCAATTGATACGCAAACGGAGGCGGGTGTTGCCTATCTAGGAATGGTGATAAATGCTAGTGCATGTAAACAGTTGCGGAACTCTAACCAATGCTTCTGTTGGAGCTCGTCTAATGATTCGTCCCAGGATTCAGACGTTCGCAACAGACATTGGACAAAGATTTTAGCAAGGACTATCACAGGGCCAATCAACCCGAGTGGGTCGAACAAGTTTACTGTGTCTGACAGCACGGTTCGTCTTGTGATAATGTTCGTTTGGGACCATTTGGGAACGGAATAGTGGAGTAGATCCATCGATGGTTCCCACATGAGTTCAAGGGTTTTGATGGTTGTTGGGGAATCTAGCGCAAGCACGAAACGTTCTTCACGCAGTTCTGGTGGTTTGACTGAGAGAATAGACGGCGAGTTGGGTGCCTATTTGCGTAAATTGAATCCAGCAGACTGCAACAGGTTTTGCAATTTTCTGCACTATTCCTGTCCTTCTTCGTCGGACATCCCCCGCTTGAGTAAACTGATCAGCGCCTTGATTTGACAGCTCTAAAAGACATCTTGTGGCCAAGCAGTGTCGAAGCAGTACGGCAGCGTTACGGTGTCGAGGCAGTAACGTACGTAACGTAGGAGGTTAATTAGAAAGTTTTGAGCGGTTCTGAAGAGGAGAAACGCCAGCGAATACGATGCAGTGAAAAATCAACAGAGTTAAGACGAAGCTGTCCATAAAATTTCTCAGCATCGGCAATAATCGCAAACTGGTGCATCCTAAAGCAAAGCGATATATCCTGTACGTCGTCCTGCAACACTGGACCCACTATCAACGCTTGATTAAGGGATACTCCGCTATCCGTCCGACAAGAGGCATCGAACATTACCCGTAGTTTGGTAGACGTGCTGTCAGCTCTCCCCACATCATGATGAGGTTGGTAGTAAGATGGGAATGTGTTGTCAGTGTCGTCGATTTCCTGCATATGGTTGAGGTGCAAATACTCCACAATAAATGCAGCATAAACCTCATTGAGCTTAGGGTTCACATCAAGTCTGCGTTAAAGGACAAGAAATCTACGAGTGGCTATTTCCTTAGAACTTCCGAGTTGGGACAACACGTCGGGTCGTTTCGGAAGGGTGATCACAAATCTAACCGATTGGTCACGAAATGTGTTAGCTATAAAGTGTTCTTCACAGAAGGGTTCCTCAGGAGAACGAGTGCTAGATGACCAGTAAGATTATATTTCCCAAAAGCGGGAGATTGGGTCATCGAGTGGTTCTGTGCTACATACGTGAGCTGCCTTAGGTTGGTCACGAGGAAGATGAAGTGCTACCCATCCGAACACAGTGTTCTGTAGAACAGGCTTCTCAGGACCCGGCTTAATGAATCCTTCTAAGAGCAGTTCAAAGTACAGTTCTATACCCAGCAGCAGATCAATCGATCCCGGTTCATGGAACTTGTGATCGGCCAGTATAACTCCGAATGGAATGCTTCAGCAAGAAGAATCGACCGTGTTCACTTTAAGCTCACGGGTATATTTTTTTTTTCAGTCTTCGATTGTAAATTTGGTGCAACGAGACCCTATCCGAACATCAACAGCATGATACCGAGGGATGAGCTGGTATTGGTAACCGTGTTTTGTACTTCTGAGATCGAAACGAGTTCGATTTGACTGGATCGATTGAACGAGACTTCGACAGTGTCAGCGACTGGAGCACTTTAAGATGAGTACGTAGAAATTTGATGAGATCTTTGTATTAAGGAACATTTGTTGTTAATGATGGATTTCCCACTGCTTTAGGGTCGACGCATCTAGACAGCTACAAACCATGTGTGCCCGCAACGCACTCCAGCCGTCCGTCAGAATGCCCATGTTGTCAACCATGCACAGGTTTTGCTTCAAATCATCTATCCAGTGCATTAGAGATTCGTGGTACTTTCTTTTCATGGGCACAATTTGAAAACAGGGCGTCAATGTAGGATTTCACAATTAATCTTCTATTGTTAAAATCGCTGTTCCAATAAGGTCCAGGCGACAATATAATTTGCTGCAGTGTGCTCTACGGATTCTATTTTTTTTTTAGCATCTTTAGAAAGAGACGAAGAGAGATCCGTTTCCCTACCGGTGCATTTTTAAGACTTTCGTGCGTATCGCTGCTCTTCTACGTCACTTTAGTCACAACAGTAAGCCCGGCAACCACCCATGATCGCGCGTATGGATTCTTATGAACTCACTGAAGCCACCAACAGCCTAGCTCGGTTGGCACAACTCGAAATTTTCGCTGAAGACATCGCAGCAATAGCCAGAAACAGGCAGGTTGCACCCAATTCAGACTTACGAATTATGACGATTCTCGTCGACGGAATTTTTAAAATCCGTGGCCGCCTCAGGCACGTGGCTATACCCGAAAATAGGAAACATCCTATTATCCTACTGGCACGACATCCACTTACCAAGTCAATTGTGACCTACTATCACGTGAAAAATTTACACGCCGAACCTCAGCTGCTTGTAGCATGCGTCCGGGAAAAGCTAATTATCGTATCTAGTAGTATATTATCGTGTTTACTTACCGTGATTCCAACCGGCTGAAAAAAAATACAAAAAATATCAATATTGTTTTGTTTTTTTTTTTTATTCAAAAGCAGTTTACTTGAGTATATATACACTGGGCATATGTATGTATATATTTGTATATATATGAATGTAAATGTAAAATAAATACATTATCAAGAAAAAGACTGCTTACCAATAGGCTTTCCAGTAAACCCTTGAACAGGAACAAAATATTTGAGGAAAACTTCCAGGATCCCTGAAATGCAAAAAAAAATAATAGAGTTGGATACTAACAGTAGTGAAAAAGAGAACAAAAGATAACAATGTAAACATAACATAAAAACATTCAAAACAATTTGTCTGAAGAGGGATTCCATCTGCTTTGGAAAATCACTTTCTTGATATATATTTTTTTCTCTCAAAATTCTTTATTACAGCAACTATACTTTGAAATTTTGTTGTTAACTTTTCTTATGTTATATGTTTTAGTCCAAGGAACACGATTGTCCTACAAAATTAAATATTAAATTCAAATATATTCAAAAAAAAACATTACAGTTTTTTAGTTGGAAAATTCCCCCGAAAATTCGAATCAAGTTTATTGTGAAAGCAGCAGCTTTCAATGATATCGGTGAAGCTATTTAAAAGAACATTGGAAAACAGCAGCCCGCCATCCAGTTGTGTCCTTTATTTCACACGAAATAAAAATGTATCGAATAATCACAACAAATTTCGCTGGATTATGGGATGCTGGGGTAAAAAGTGCAAAAACTCACCTCAAGAGGGCACTTCAGAATGCAGAACTTATTTTTGAGGAGTCGTTTGTCTTGGGAGTATCTTACGATACTCGTGGTCCACGAAGTCTTGAAACTTAAAACCCGGAACAGTTGTGTTCTTGCTTGAGGACTTCTTCGGGAATCTTCAAGCATCCATTTCAAAACCCATCCACTTGATTCGGTGATTTGACGTGAAGTGAAAAAAAAAATTATTACCAGCAGCATGGTTGCTGCGATGATTTTTGTGCTTCGGTCGTTGCTGTGTCACTGCCAACTTTGATGCCCAAAAACAAACATGTGCAGCGAGGAAGCGTCCACCATTTTCTTTACTGATTAATGTGATCGAAGTTGAAGAACAAACATGCATTTTTTTCGGAGTTCTTTTAAGTAAAATAAGTTAACTTAAAACAGTGCATTGAATTGGAATTTGAGTCGTGCTTTGGACATAGAATGACAGTAATTTCTATGTTTAATTCGATAGCTTTCAAATATATCACGTTTCAAATAAATCACGCGAAAATTTGAACTGTCTACTTTGTTTGACAAAATAAATAAATAAATAAATAAAATCTAAACTGCACTGTAATAAGCTGTGCAAGTAATAAAAAATTAACAAGTGTCAGCGTTGGAAAATGGTGCGTCTTTATATTTTTGCTTAATACCATATCTTAAGAAAGGAAAGGTATAGAGATGCTAAGTGAAACATCAACAATAACAGTAATGATATTATTCATTTCGTTCCAGTTTTCTTAGCAGAGCGGTGCTCTATAGCCAAAAACTAGAACACTAGTGGCCACTGGGACAGAATAGTACTTTTGTTGGAGAAAAATCGTAGTGCTTCATCCATACTTCCTAAAGGGTTGGTGTCATGGTTACATAATTAGTTTCGTTCAAGATCACGCGGTTCAAATGACGGAATGCTAGCAAAAATATCAACGCAGAATGAGATTTTAAATTGAGGTCAATTCCGCAAAAAGATTTTTTTTTTTGTTACATTTTTAACATATTTAGCATTTTTAACAGCGTAAAACTTCTCCTGTCGTCTTCACTAGGACTTGCCTGACCCGTCCATCGCGTCCTTTCACAACTGAGACAATCCGTCTTGGTAGCCACCCGTTCCGGATCGATTCGTCAACGATAATGACTGGGTCTGCGTCCTTCGGTTTTGCTTTTGCTTCCTCGAACCATTTTGTGCACTTGCAGAATGTCGGGAGGTATTCCCGTACCCAACAATGCCAAAACTGGTCAACCAGGCTTCTCGTTAGCTTCCAGTTGGTTATAAGGCACTCTGGATATTCTAGCATCGGTTGTGGAGGCTGAGCAGCCCCCTGAGAGCTCAGAAGCAGAAAATGATTTGGCTTAAAGGCTTCTTGGGCTTCTTGGGCTTCTGACTCAACTGGGACAAACGTCAAAGGACGTGAATTGACGATACCTTCTGCCTCGATCATCAGTGTGACGTCGTTCCTGCTTGTGTTTAATGAGATGAATACGACCTTAACAGATCTAACTAGTCGCTCTCACGATGGATGCGGATGGCGGATTGAAGATCGATGATAGCTGCTGGTTCATTTCCGCTATCTGTTGCTGTAGCTCACGGCTAGCTCCGAGGAATTTAGTACATACCGTTATCGCTCCTTATCTCTAAAGGGGATCCACGCCGTACCAGGAACCTACGAATAGCCATCTTGCATGTTTCCGCGGACAGGGAGTGCACTACCTCCAGATGGACTGCTCGAATGGTAAGGCACGTAAACAGTGCAACCCATCGTTTGACTAGCGATCGTCCGAATTTGACCATGATGGTCTAAGAGATTTGGACTTGGAGATTTGGACTGAAGGTTCAGGACCAGATGGAATTCCTATTTTTTTTTAAACTTAGCAACTGAACTCACAACCCCTTTATTATGGCTATTAATATTGCACTTGAATCCGGTATATTCCCGAAGGAATGAAAAAAATCCTACTCAATACCCATTTAAAAATCTGGTAACAAATCCGATACTCGAAAATATCGTGGGATTGCTATCATTTCGTGCATTACAAAATTGAAGAGTTTTCAAATATAAATAAAAACGTTTTTGGCCAAATAAAACAAAGAATAACTAGTGCACAACATGGCTTTGTTAAAGGCCACCAACACAAACCATTTCGAATTTGTGTTTCCTGAATAAACTGTATCTCGCGAACTTGGCCATATAGAAAGTTTCTGTCTTGAGCAAAGTTCTTCAGGTGACCAATTTCTTTCGGATGGTGGTCATAGTAGTTTAAACTCTCTCACTACGCAGCATTAGTGTGCACATGACCTTCCTAGTATGAAGGTGGGTGTTGGAAACAGGAGAATGACATGGATATGGGGTGGTGCAGAAGTGGGAGGGAGGTGGAAATGGGCTTAGGTCATGGGGGAAGCTACTGGGTCAAACTGAAGAGGTGGTGCTCTTCTACTTCAGCAATTGCGCAAGATTGTTCGATAGTTTGATACGAGTCAAGTAAGGAAGTTAAAAGAGTTCCGAACAAATACCGCCAATACCGCCAAATACGAAGTCAGGACCCAGTAAATACGGGCTAAAAAGACATTTCGTTCCGGCCACGCAAAAAACGTTGGTCGAAAAGTGCGAGGGCGGACGCTATACCGCCATATTGCACCCGTTTAGCAAGCGTCGAGCGGCAAGCTACCGACGACCGCTTTAAACCAACAACAGGTGAACAGCAAGTCCACCGTCGAACAGCCGATCGAGCCCCGCACACTGTGACAACCGTCGAGCCCCGTCATCCTCCGGGAACGTACCGTTCAGCTGCCGCCGAGAAACCCCACCAGCTGTAAAATCTTGTCATCGCTGGCCAACAGTACAGACACCGATACCGTAATAAAATAGTTAAAAGTGAAAGTGTGTTTTTTGGGCTTTGGATCAGTAGTGACAAGCCAGGATCCGACCTTGAAGCTCTAGGGCTTCGAACTCGAGCTATCGAACAAAAGAGGCGAGTGTTGGTGTAAGGGGAATTCCTTTAAACTAGCCCATCGGGCTAGCCATTAACAAAATAGGAAGCGATAACGATATTAATGTGTTTCAGAATAAAATACATGTTTTTTACACATGGTGCAGTCAAAACTTATTTCATTTTCATTTTGCAGCGTTTAGTGGGGCAATGGGAGCGCAGGTCAATCCAAAGCCGAGGATAAAGGAAGGGTAATGGCTGAATAGTCTGCGCGACCACTTGAACGCCATGGGAAAAGCAAGGGTCCTTCAATAGAGATCGGTTATTGGGGGGTTTTGAGGAAATGACACATAGCACTAGATTTGTGCTGCAAAATGTAAAGAAACCGAAAATCCATCTCCCACAGATTAATCCTTTCACATATATATCAAATTGATATTTTAAAGCAAACAGACAATATATGCAAAGGCTAGTTGCCAGTTGCGTTAAAGTCTAGTTGCCTCCCTAAGCGGACCTCCCGCATCCTAACTTTTGATAATCTACTTAATGCTATTAAACTGTCTAAATTTACTTATTTTAGTTCGTTTGATGATTACGATATCTCATTCGCCTAATTTAATAAATAATTGAAATCTTTAATCAACCTAATCAATTATAACCTATGCTTTGTAAAGTACCTGCACTTGTGCATGTAATCTAAAATTTAGCCAAGATTGGTTAAAAGGCTAACAACGGGACTTACCATTGTTTTTCGACGTTTTGGACGAGAAAGTTCCTTTGTCCCAGTCGGCTCCGGCACCACTGCTGGTTTCACTGCCGCAACCGTTGCGACCGAAGCTCTCGTGCTGTCAAAGCTCGGTACAAACTTCCAGAATCCCTGAAAATAAAAAAATAAACGTCAGTGTTGAATACTACTAGTTGAATTCCGTTGCACATAGGAAAAAGATATATTCATTTTCAGCTGAATTAAGTTTGTTTGTATTGATATCATCGAACAGTAACTTAAGGTCCTGTATCAATTCCCCGTGTTGTCCAAAAAGGATTATAGCCAGCCCTGATCTGTTAAATTCTGGTGAATTCGTAGATAGGTTTACCAATATATGGAGGAAATTTGAGGTCTCATTCTTAAAAAAATTACAAAATCTGAGTGGTATGAAAAACGGCCTCTTTTCATAATTTGGATACCTTCCAACAATCGGTCTTCTTACTATAGTTCCCACTTTAATTCATGCTCACTTCTTCCAATCCGGGAACCCCTATGCATTGGACAGACGCACTCCACAACACCAGTAGTAACGTTCAGTATTACCTCCACCGGACGAGGAAGTTCATTGGGTGGTGTTGGCAGTTGGCGTTTCAGTCCGCTCCGGCTCCACTACTGGTGTCACTGCCGCAACCGTCGCGACCGAAGCTGTCATGCTGGCAAAGCTCGGCAAAAACTCCAGTTATGTCTTCTTGCTTCGATATTCACAAACATTGTGTCAAAAAAGTAGAACCGCTGAAGCCTCAGGCTACTATGTTTTTTTTTTTTCCTTGAAGGCACATC